TACTATGCTTTGTTATAGTGGATTAGTTTTACAGTATCCTTATATTGATTTTTAATTGAAATTGAAATTGTTATTATGTTGCAGGGGTTGAATCAGTGTCTGTGGACATGAAAGACAAGAAATTAACATTAGTGGGAGACATTGATCCAGTACATGTCGTGGGGAAGCTTAGGAAATGGTGTCATACTGAAATAGTTTCTGTTGGATCTGCTAAAGAAGAAAAAAAGAAGGAAGATGATAAGAAGGATTCAATAAAAGTTCCAGAACCTGTTAAGCTTTATGAAGCCTATCCCCTTTATTATCATATGACCCCACTACAGTCTAATCAATATCACTATGTTACAAGTGTGGAAGAGGACCCTAATGGCTGTGTCATCTGCTAAATTGTAGGAGACATGAGATGTAAAGCAAATGCTAAAAGAAATGTTATTTTTCATTTTTAGGGGGCTTTTTCTAACGATTCAGATTGAGGGATGAAGTGCGTCCAAGAAGAGTATGCTGTATAGGAATTTGCTGTGTAAGATTTGGAGATTTTAATTAAATATTTGTACCTTTTGTTGAAAGTGTAAGATTTGGAGAATAGAATGAATAAAAACATTTGGTTGGTTATGAAAATGGATTGGCCATAACAATAGTTATGATGATAGAACGAATAGTATTTGCTGTACTTAATAAACTTGTATTGGCAGCTTGCAATGTTGTTAAAACATAGAAATTCCGTGAAATAGCATGAAGTAGTCAAATTGCACATTTAACAACCAGTATTTTCCAATGGAAAAATACTAGCATTCCCTTTCTAAAGTTCAATAATTCATATGAATAATTGTAACGTCCCGTCTGTGGTCGGATAATTAACATTGATATGATATTAAGTGAAGCACATTTTAACTTATTAAATACGGAAACTCGTGATTAACTTTTTCCTTTTTCCTTACGTATTGCAACCATCTACTCTTTTTACATCTCGCTGATAACTGTTGCGACTTCGGCAAGTGCACCGGTCATACAAGTAATAAAGTGATAAGAAAAGTTATCGATCTCACGAGGACGGATGACTAAGCAATAATTTATCTATTTAACTAAAGTTGGACCGATCGTAAAAGGATTTCTTGAGAATATTACAATTAAATTAAAAACAGAATTTGTAAACTTATTTTTAGTTTTTAATATTTTAGAAAATAAATTCAGAATTAATAAAACTAGAAATTGGTTTTAACTTTTTAATAAAAAGACGTAGCTAAGATTCAACTTCCCCAATGATTTCTTAACGAGTCTGCCTATTCTTACGATTACATTCAAGATCAAATTATTAACAGTTCTTTCTATGATTGATTAAATCTCAATCTCTTGGTAATCCAATCCTTTATTCTAATTAAAAGCCTAATCCCTTAGTACTTTTTCATAAAATAAGCATTAACGCAAGAACCTACGGTTATGGAATTCATAAGTTTATCCCTAGATTATACAAATTCCAGCGATCAACCAATCAGAATCATACACCAACATCCCTATTGTCATGCACAACTCATGTTTATCTACGAGTAATCAAGTCATAAATAAAGCTAATCATAAATATCAGATTGATTGCATAATTTAAAATCAAGAATGTGAATTATAAGAAAGGTAAACATCTATTAAGAACCCATTGGTTCTGTCTCATCCTAACAACTAAAAGAAATTTAGCTATGCATAATTATAAGAACAGAATTAAAAGATACAGGAAAGTAAATAAAGTTCATGAAGAAAGTTGGTTAATGAACACAATGATGCAGATTGCTTTCTTCCTTCCTCTCTGCCAGTGTTCCTCTTTCGCCACGGCTTTCATTTTTGTCTCTGAGTTCCTTCTTTCTTCGCGTTTCTGAATGCCCAAAGCCTTCGTCGCATTTGTATTTAAAGAATTAGAATGTGCTTTAATTTCTAGACCGATTCGCTGAGGAGTTCGCTGAAGCGAGCTGCTCAGCGAGCAATTTTCTCGTCCTAACTGTTGTGCTTGCTACTAGGGGTGTTCATAAACCGATCCAAACCGATTCAAACCGCAAAAACCGAACCGAAAAACCGAAAACCGAAATAACCGAAAACCGAAAAACCAAAAACCGAAAAAACCCGCAAATATTTACTGGATTGGATCGGTTTTCGGTTTGGATGTTGAAAACCGATCCAATCCAAACCGATCCAAACTTATTTTCTACCAAATTTTTTTTTGTTAATGTAGTATTCATGCCAATGATCTATGTATGGGTAAGAAGAATTCAGTTTTATGTTTTAAATTTACTATGTTATGGAATTTCTGGATTACTTTCGTTAATCTAGTATACATGGTTAAGTTTTTTGTAGAAGCTGTGTTTTGGCCAGTGTTCATAGTGGCCACTTTTGCAGCCATTATAATTTATAAGTAGTAAAACAGTGACTTCTGTAAAAGAATTCATTACTTTTTTATTAGTGATTTTGGAAGACTTATTACTACGGTATTGTCAAAATTTTCTGCTACTACCAATACAAAAGATCCATGACAAATAATACTACTCATTTTTCTAAAAATAATTCTTATAAGTTCTGTTTTTTTGGCTTTTCAAAAAACTGAAAACCGATCCAATCCAAACCGAAAAAATTGGATCGGATTGGATCGGATTTGAAAAAAAATTCAAACCGATCGGATGATGTAATGACCAAACCGAAGGAATTGGATCGGATGGTTTTTTGCTTCAAAACCGATCCAATCCAGACCGCGAACACCCCTACTCGCTACAACGAGCAACAAAGCGAGCTCACTTATACTTCTTGCTCACTTGCTCGCTGAAGCGAGCTTGACCGAATATATTTATATTTATTTAATTTCATATTTTTCTTGATATTCGGCCGATGCCAATTGCCTCCTCATCCTTATCAGGTTAGTAATTTATTATTCTAGTATGAAATAACCTGAAACAACAACAAAGATTATGATCTTATCTATTTGTTGGCAATTTACTATCTTTTAATATTTTATTTAATTAATAATATATTTTTAATTTTTTTAATTATTATTTGAACTATATTTAATATTAAAAGCATAGTATATTTGACACTTATCAAATCATTCCCAGATTTACTCATTGCTATCCTCAGCAATGAATTAAATTAAAAACATGGAATAATGTAAACATGCTTAATATAAGACTAGACAATATATCAATTTAAAAATGATCAGACTTAGGTAAAAAAAATAGGACTTTTAAGAACAAACATTTAACTAAGCAGCCTTGAAAGTAAGCAAGTTATAAAATCAAAGCGTGAGTTCTATCAATCAAGCATAAAAACTAAATTTTAACACATCATTCACTGGATATATCAAGTCACTCATCACTCATCTGTCTAAGGTTAAGTGTTTCACTCAAATTTTCACTGTATCAATATTTTCATAAGCTTGATAATATTCTCACTTTTCACAATTAATTCACATGCACAAAAGATCAAGAGGTTTTTATTCAGGTTGTAATGGGGCTGGGCTACAGGTAGGATAAATAAGGAAAAATTAGCTAAAACATTAAAATACAGAAAGATCATGGTAAAGTGTAAACACTCAAACAATAATCTTTTTTCTCCTTTCTTTCCTCCTTTTTTTTTCTTTTTCAGCACTTTTGTATTTTTCTTTTTCTGTGCTTTTTTTTTTCAACCCCTAATACTTTTCATTTTCATTTTCATTTTCTTTCAACACTTTTATTTGCATAGAAGCAATAAATATTTTTCTTTTTCACCATTTTCCATTTTTTCTTTTGCTTCATTCACCTAACCTCCTTTTTCACCACTTTGAATTACATGATAAAGTACATGTTTATACCCTACCATGAAATTTCTATAATTTAATCTTATTTAAGGTAGATGTGTATGTGGAGTGGCTAATTAAGACAACAGGTATTGTTATCAAAAAAAAAAAAAAAAAGACAACAGGTATTAAGAACAGAAAAGGCTTAGTCTCAAAGGGGTAAACAAAGGATATCATAATGGTTGGCTTTTTGGCTAACTAGCTAAAACAATAAAATGCCTCAATCATTTCAAACATGCATGTAAACAACCATTTTAAGGAGAAACAAAGAAAGTTCTGGTAATATTTTTAGCAGTAAAATGCACACTAAAAAGAAATTTCTGTTTAGGCTCAAACCTCACGGTTATATTGTGCAATTCAGTAATTTATGCTCTTTCTCAACCACTCATACTGTAATTTCATTATTCTTACTGACTCTTAGACTAACTCAATCAATGCTTATTCCTAAAATTAAACATATTCTAAGTCATCACATCATAAATTAATTTTTACGGACTAATTCTTACTTAACATGATTTAGACAGAGAGAAGAAACATAATAAGATAAAATAAAGAGGAATAAGGAAAAGAATTTTCCCTATTTTCTGAAAAAATTTGCAGCTCTTCGCATCTTCACAGGGAAGTCTAATTGCTATTGTATATGGCGGTGCTCCCCATTCCCAGATTTAGAATTTTGCTGTCCTCAGCAATAGACTACGCATCAGAAACAAGGAGCACACAATAATAATAAAACATGCAGTCTCATAAGAACATCATCAATTATACATAACCATGGAGATCAAAAGTTTAAACTAAAGTAAAATAAATCAAAACAAAAACTAAATGTAGCAAAATAAAATAAAAGCATAAATCCGTTGGGTTGCCTCCCAACAAACGCTTGTTTAACGTCATTAGCTTGACGTTACATCTTCATTAGTCATGGTAGTTTGTAGCCAGAATTCAAAGATGTTGCCATTCCTTATCATAAATATTGTTTTGCCGTAATAGTACTCTCGTGCATATGGGTGAGAAGGTTTGGCCTCAAGAACTCTAAACTTAGTCTTGATGTGCTTTCCCTTGCTCTTCAGCTTTGTCATCTTCACCTTCGGCTTGGCAACTCTCATCTGGCTTATGATCTTTCTTTTCTTCCTCTCCAGCCTTCTTTTCCTCAATAAGAAAAATTTTCTCTGGCTGAGTTGTAGATGGTGGAGTTTCTTTTTCAAACATTTTGAGAATAGCCCTTTTCTCCTTCCACCCTTAAAATTAATTCACCTTTTGGCACATCAATTAGCGCTCCGGATATCGCTAAGAAAGGTCTCCCAAAGATCATGGGAACAATAGCATCCTCCTCTATATCCAAGATAACAAAGTCCATCGGGAAGATGAATTTGTCCACCTTAACAAGTATGTCCTTTATTACTCCATATGCTTGCTTGGTGGAGCGGTCAGCTAGTTGCAGAATCATCTTGATCGGCTTCACCTCTGTGATTCCCAGTTTCTTCATCATAGATAATGGCATTACGTTGATGCTGGCACCTAGATCACATAAAACTTTCTCTATTGTCATCGAGCCAATCGTGAAAAGGATACTAAAACTCCCCGGATCCTTTAATTTCGGTGGTAAATTCTTCTGTGTGATTGCATTACACTCCTCTGTCAAGATAGTGGATCCTTCTACTCTGAGCTTCTGCTTCTTGGTTAGGATCTCTTTTAGAAACATAGAATATGACGACATTTTCTCTAAAGTTTCCGCAAAAGGGATATTGATGTGAAACTTCTTAAAAATCTCTAAGAATTTAGAGAATTGGTTCTTCTGCTCGTGCTGCTATAACCTCTGAGGATAAGGAGCCTTAACATAAGGATTGTCTCAAAGTGATTTCATCCTTTCCTCTAAAGAAAGCTTCTTTATTATTTTTTTACGTGGGGTATCATTTAATGGTCCGCCAAAAATTATGACATCTTCATCAATAGGGTCATAAGCTTTCTCTTCACCAGGATTTTCCTTATCTGCATCTTTTTCACTACTTGGTGCAGCTATTGGTTTTTCCACACTTTCCCTTGTAGTGATGGCACTACATTGTTCCTTGGGATTAATAATTGTATTACTAGGAAAGGTTCCTACAGGCCTCTCAGCCTCTGTTTGGCAAGCTGATCACCAATCTGAATTTCCAGATTTTTAATATATGCTTCTTGATTTTTGAGAGATGCTCGGGTTTCTTCCACAAAACTTGTTTGAGCTTGAGACATCTTTTCGAATGCAATTTACCAAGCTTCCTTTTGACTAGATTGTGCTGGTTGAATTCCCAGATTAGCTTGTTGTAGTCCTCCTTGATTATATGAAAGTGCAGAAAGGTTTCTCCAGTCAGAATTATAAGTGTTGCTATAAGGATTGTTCTCCCTACGTTGTTCGTACCAGAGAGAATTCACCTGAGCTAGGTTTATAGTAACCATAGCCTCATATTTATCGGCACTATGAGGTTCGCCACAAGTGTCGTAGACTACAGGAAATTGAGAGTTGACTGCTGAAATTTGATTTTGGGCAAAGAGTTTAACAAGTGAATCTAGCCTTTGATCCATCTTGTCTTGTTTGGCTAGCATGGCATCGTACCCTTCTAACTGCATAACTCCTTACTTAGGTTGAACTAGTGTGACCTCATTATCTTCAGATGCCATCTTTTAAATTAACTCAACAGCTCTAGTTGGAGTAATTTCTCCGATACTACCTCCAGCTGTAGCATTAAGGAGTACTCGATATGTCGTCGTAACCCATTTGTAGAAGATTCGAACCTTCTCGCCATTCGATAAAACGTATTGTGGACATCTCCTGATTAGTTCTTTAAATCTTCCCCATCTCACGCACAAGGATTCACCTTCGAGCTGCTTGAAGTTGTCAATCTGTTCTTTCAGCTCAGAGAATCGGGAGAGTGGGAAAAACTTCTTTTGAAATTTTTCAACTAATTCTTCCCACGTGGAGATGCTATCAGCAGGTTGCAATTCCAGCAAATTAAGTGCTCTTCCTTTTAAAGAGAAAGAAAAAACATCAGTCAGATTGATTCAGCAGGTACCCCATTAGCTTTAATGAGGTTACACAATTGTAGGAATTTAGTGATATGGCGGTTTGGGTCTTTAATCGGGTCTCCTTCAAATAGATTACTTTGAATTAAATTTAGGAAGGAGGCTTTTATTTCGAATTTATTGGCTGGGATTTGAGGCCTTCTAATACTCGCAGTCGGATGCGAGAAATTAGGGTTTATGAAATGGTTCATCAATTCTTCTGGTGGGTTTTGGTTATCCTCAGCCATAACTGGTTCTTCAGCAGAATTGGAGCTCGATGCGTTTTGTATTTTCTTTCTCGCGGTCGAACGCTTTCTACTGGTTCTTTCTAATCGTCCTAACTTTAGTTCGTACTGTAGGTCACTGGGGTTAACAGTGTCTTGCAGATGCATAAACCAGAAAACTAAGGCTCAGTGGAACCAATTAACGGAAACCACTAACTAACAAAATATTTAAAATTTAAAATTAAAGTAAACAATTTAAACTAAGAAAACAAAACAAAATAACAAAAAAAAAAATAACAATAAAAATATTAAACTAACAAAGAAAGAAAATAAAATAAAATGATAATAAAATATAAAAAAACTAAAATAAAATAAAATAAGCAAAATAAAAATAAGAAAAACAGAAAAAAACAAAATGAAAAATAAAACAAATAAAATAAAAACAAAACTAATAAAATAAAATTAAAAAAATGATCCAGTCTATAATTGTATAGATATGATTAATGTTAATGAAATCAATCCCCGGCAACGGTGTAAAAAATTTGTTGCGACTTCGACAAGTGCACCGGTCATACAAGTAATAAAGTGACAAGAAAAGTTGTCGATTTCACGAGGACTGATGACCAAGCAATAATTTATCTATTTAACTAAAGTTAGATCGATCATAAAAGGATTTCTTGAGAATATTATAATTAAATTAAAAACAGAATTTGTAAACTTATTTTTAGTTTTTAATATTTTAGAAAATAAATCTAGAATTCATAAACCTAGAAATTGGTTTTACCTTTTTAATAAAAAGACGTAGCTAGGATTTAACTTCCCCAATGGTTTCTTAACGAGTCTGCCTATTCTTACGATTACATTCAAGATCAAATTATTAACAGTTCTTTTTATGATTGATTAAATCTCAATCTCTTGGTAATCAAATCCTTTATTCTAATCAAAAGCATAATCCCATAGTACTTTTTCATAAAATAAGCATTAACGGAAGAACCTACGGTTATGGAATTCATAAGTTTATCCCTAGATCATACGAATTCCAGCGATCAACCAATCAAAATCATACATCAACATCCCTATTGTCATGCATAACTCATATGTTTATCTACGAGTGATTAAGTCATAAATAAAGCTAATCATAAATATCAGATTGATTGCATAATTTAAAATCAAGAATATGAATCATAAGAAAGGTAAACATCAATTAAGAACCCATTGGTTCTGTCTCATTCTAACTACTAAAAGGAATTTAGCTATGCACAATTATAAAAACAGAATTAAAAGATACTGGAAAGTAAATAAAGTTCATGATGAAACTTGGTTAATGAAGACGGTCAATGATGCAGATTACTTTCTTCCTTCCCCTCTGCCAGTGTTCCTCTTCCGCCATGGCTTTCATTTTTCGTCTTTGAGTTCCTTCTTTCTTTGTGTTTCCGAATGCCCAAAGCCTTCGTTGCGTTTTTATTTAAAAAATTAAAATGGGCTTTAATTTCTGGACCGGCTCGCTGAGGAGCTCGTTGAAGCGAACTGCTCAGCGAGCAATTTTCTCGTCCTCGCTGTTGTGCTCGCTGCAGCTAGCAACGAAGCGAGCTCACTTATACTTCTCGCTCACTTGCTCGCTGAAGCGAGCAGTGGAGCGAGCTTGACCGAATATTTTTATATTTATTTAATTTCATATTTTTCTTGATATTCAGCCGATGTTAATTGCCTCCTCATCGTTATTAGGTTAGTAATTTGTTATTCTAGTATGAAATAACCTGAAACAACAACAAAGATTATGATCTTATCTATTTGTTGGCAATTTACTATCTTTTAATATTTTATTTAATTAATACTATATTTTTAATTATTTTAATTATTATTTGTACTATATTTAATATTAAAAGCATAGTATATTTGACACTTATCAACAACATTCTTTCTGTTTTACTAACTTTTGGGATTAATTCTCATTCTAGAAATTTTCACCTGATTAACAATTTATCAATATACTAAGCATGCCACAAAATGGATAAACATCTTGCCTAGTAGCCATCCACGGCCTGGGCTATCACATAGTAATATTATCTTTTAGTGAATATATATATATATATATATATATATATATATATATATTAATTGACTTTAATAAAAACTAAATTTAAATTGCTTAAGTGAAGTATTGAAAATGATTCTTAATAAAATATCTTTTAGATTCTTTAGAATGCTATAACTTTTAAAATAGTAGAGTCTTGATTCTTCAAGTTGTAAACATAATAAAAATTTGTTTTCATTAATGTTAATTATTTCATTGAAAGGATTAATAAAATAGGTTTAAGTGTAATATTAAAAACCAAAAAAAAAAAAAAAAACAAACAGCCAGAGTGTGGCACGAAACGTAGACGGGAACAACAAAAGATCAGTGGCGCACTAGTGCCTAGGGGTGTAAATGCGCTAGGCCGGTCTACAGGGGCCTACGGCCTAGCCTATATTAGGCCAGACTTGACCTATTTAGAAAATAGGCCATAGGCTTTTTTGTACATGTCTAGCCTATAAGCCTACAGGCCGACCTATATCATATTATTTATTTAAAATATAATAAATAAAATTTTATTTTAATAATTTTGAATAATAAAATAATATTATTTTAATTATTCGTTTAATTGTTGAATGTTTAATAGGCTTAAACAGGCTAACAGGCCTAGGTCAAGATTTTTATTTTTCAAATATAGGTCAGGCCAGACTTGTAATTTGCGGCCTACACAGGCTAATAGGTCAGGCCATACCCAATGCTTTTTACACAGGCCTGACCTATTTAAGGCAAAGCCTAGCCTAGCCCAGCTCATTTACACCCGTAGTGCCTATTTAGAAAGTTTTATTTTTCATTTCTGTTTTATAAACAGAAATTTAGTCTAATATAATTTTACAAAAGTTGTTATTATAAAAAGAATTTGTATTATAATAAATAAAATAAGCAAAATCTAAAAGCTATAAGAGAAGTTTTTTAGAGTTCTTACATTTTTTTCAGTTTTACTATTATTTTAAATTTATATTTACCAATTTTACTCTTTATCCTAATAATCCATCATAATAATAAATTGTTTTATCTTCCTTTTTCTACTAAAAAATAGATTATTCTTCCTAATTTTTTTATGCTTACCTTACTTACCACTCTTCATCACAATTAGATTAAAACTTCAAATAACCTTTATCATTGCTTATCTGCAATGTTTTTTTATTTATTTATTAATGGACAAAATGGAGAGACTATTCCAATTTATAATAGTGATAAAGGTGGAATGAAAAATTTATAAAGGAAATAAGCGATGAATAAAACATAGAGATTAAATCACTTGGTTTTTTTTTTAAGTTTTTCCTATATTTAATATTGAAATTACATGATCATGGTAAAAGAGAGGGAAAAAAAACAAAATATATAGATAAAATACCAAATGATATTAGCTCAGTTGGCATATAGGAACTGAGCATATGAGAATAAAGGAGGAAAATTAAACCAAAATATATGGATAAAATACGAAATGACACTAGCTCAGTTGACGCATGGGAGCTGAACAGGTGATGATGAGACAAAGAGCATGTGTTCGATCCTTTTCAGTACCATTTTTGGAAAGAGTTTAAAGTCTTAATTTTAGACCCACCATTTTTGGGAAGAGATTAAAGTCTTAATCTTAGACCCACCATATTAGTGTAACACCCTCCCTTGTATGCATCCAAGAGAGTTGTTTGCTAAGCGGATTAGAGACTTAACGTTAACGTGTGAAATTCCCTTTATGTAAAAACTTTTTCATTCAATATCAATTAGAAAAGCTTGCTTAGACATTGACTTGGAGAAATAAAACAACAAGAAAATTCAAAAAGGCTTTCACTGCGAAACTCTGATTTTTCCCGAAAACAATCTGTCTTGAAAATATTATAAAAAAATCCGAGTACAAAAATTTACAAAAATCTTCTTTGCTACTAAGAAACTAGACATCTGGGACTTCGCGTACATATAAATTATACGCGAATCGGAGGTCTCTAGCCCCACGAAACAGAACTCGCAAGTTCCTCAAAAATTCAGTGTATTTTCCAAAAACCTCCTGACTGGTAAAATTCATAATAATTCGATTTTTGAAAAAATTTCATTGTAAGGGTTACATAATCTGAAAGTAAACAGCTGGGGCTTTGCATCCATATAAAATATACCTCAATCTATATATATATATATATATATATATATATATATATATATATATGGGGTTTGATTTTCTCATGTTGAATGAGAATTCAATTCTCATGTTGTAGAGATAAAAAACATGTGGGACCCACGTGTTAGGAAAAAATTATATGTAGGACCCATGTCAGCACGGAAATCGAAGGGTGTGTAGGAAAATTTGAATTCTCATGTTGAATGAGAATTATAAAACCCTATATATATATATATATATATATATATATATATATATATATATATATATATATATATATATATATATCAAAAACTTGTTGCGAATTCGGCAAGTGCACCGGTCGTAAAAGTAATAAAAGTGTATTGAGTACGAGATTGTTCCCACGAGAATTGATTTTCAAGCACTAGTTCGCTAACAACAATTTAGTTGGACAATCGAATTTGAGATGAAAAGAATTGAAATTAAAAACAAGCAAGAATATTCAATTTTAGAATTAAAAGCAAGTAAAGAAAAAGAATTTGGTTTTGAAAATCAAGAAAGGACGTAATTAAGGTTTCGATTTTCCCAATATCCTTCTTATGATTAAACAATCAAATAACTGCCCTTAATATAATATAATGCCAATCGATTCCTCTAAGTAATTAAGGTTCAATTCCTTGTTACCTTAATTCTCTGTAATTTTAAAAGAATCCTAGTTCCCTAGTTGTTTCCTAAGAAAACATGCATTAACAACAAGAATATAATATATATATATATATATATATATATATATATATATATATATATATATGAGGTTTACATTTCTGCAGCTGCTGTACGCGCTGTTGTAAAATCCGGCCCGACCCGGGACCTGATGAACCGGTCATCAGACCAGTTCGGGTCAAGCATTGGACCGATCATGCATCGCCCCAGTCAAATCCGTTCAAAACCCGGACAAAACCGGCCAAACCCGGTCAAAATCGGTGACCCAGTGACCCGATTGGGTCATGCATTTTAAAAAAAAATCAAAAAAATCAAAATTGCTTCATCTTGTCAGAAATAAAATGTATAACTCATTTTAAAAACTTTTTGTAATTTTATTTGCTAATATACTCTTCTACAATGACCACAAATTTCAGCTTCTAATATTGAAGCAATTTGCTGAATAATAACTTAAGAGAATGTGAAATATGTATTTTAATGTAGTTGAATTTGAAAAATATGAGTTCAATGTTTATTGAGAAGTATGTTTATGGAGATTATGAGTAGCAATTTAAATTGATATAGTAATATCGTGCATTTTTATTTATTTATGCTCCATATTTTTGAGCTTATTTAGTGAACCTTGTTTAATTCATTTTAGATATGGAGAATATAATTGAATTTATATGTTCATATTTATATATATTTTTATATATTTATATATATCCGGGCCAACCGGTCCAACCTGTGACCCACCGGTCCAACCAGTGACCCAGTGACCCAATATCCCGACCGGGTCGATGCTCGGGTCAGGTTTAATAACACTGATTGTACGTGCAGTAATCAAATATTTGCCATATATATACTCGAAAGCATTAAATGCGGGAAATCATAACCATACAAAGGATGAAAGCATTAAATGTGGAGAATCAGAACCATACACACCTGTCGTTGCTGTACATAAAACAGCTGCAGAAATGATTTTGCAGAAATGATTTTATTATATATATATATGGGATAGGATATTGTGACACCCAAGTTATGTTACACCCATGTGACACCCAGTCAATCTCACCGTTAGATCGATTATGTTGATCCAACGGTTATATTTATTTCCATCTTTGTATGGTCATGATTTCCCAAATTTAAAGTGAAAGCATTAAATATGGGAAATCATAACCATACAAAGGTAGAAATAAATATAAAATATTAAATTTGGGAAATCATGACCATACAAAGATGGAAATAAATATAACCGTTGGATCAACATAAGCGATCTAACGGTGAGATTGATTGGGTGTCACATGGGTGTAACATAACTTGGGTGTCACAATATCCTATCCCTATATATATATATGGTTCATTTTTTTGCAGTTACTGCAAATAAGTAAGCCCAAACGACGTCGTTTTTGGATAAAAATCATGGTGTTTTTGTAATTTTAATTTTTTTTCAAGGTTATAATAGTCTTTATATTTATAATTTTTTAAGATTTCAATACCAAAACGACGTCGTTTTGAGAATAAATGCAGATAACTTATCTGCATTAACTGCAGAAACATTTTTCCCATATATATATATATATATATATGGGAAAAACATTTCTCAAGCAGCTTGAGATAAGTTTATCTTCGGCTACCAAAAAACTATGTCGTTTTATTTATTGGGTTAGGATATTTTGACTACCAATTTTTTCTATTACCACTCCACTACCACTTTAATCACCATTGGATTAGAGGAAAAGTTGAATGAAGAGTGAGAAAAGAAAAATAACTTTTAATCCAATGGTGATTAAAGTGGTAGTGGAGTAGTAGTAGAAAAAATTGGTAGTCAAAATATCCTACCTCTTATTTATTTATTTCCTTATATTAAGTGATTCACATTTGAATGGTTATGATTTCCTTTTTTTCTCTCTTCCTGTATCACCATTGATCAATCTTTGTACGGTTATGATTTAGTAGCCGGAGATAAGATTATCTCAAGCAGCTTGAGAAACGATAAGCCTATATAGGGCTTATCATTTCTGCAGCCGCCGTAGACAGTGTTATCTACAGCTGACACAGAAAAGTGAGCCCCACAGCTTTTCTTTAAAAAAAAAAAAAAACAGGATCTGGTTCCGTATCCTTGGATCCGGTGCCGTATCCTGACTTGTTGTAGGTACAACGGCTGCATAAATCATTTTGCCATATATATATATATATATGGGTTTGATGTTTGTCATTTTAAATGATATAAGTTATGTCATTTTAAGAGAGAGATAGACATACAGAATGAAAATTATAGGAGAGAAAATGAGTAATTTTTTTTAATCTAAATTTTAAATGAAAATTATTATTATGTGTCTGTCTTTCTCTTAAAATGACATAACTTTATGTCATTTAAAATGACAAACACTTTTCCCATATATATATATATATAGGGATTTACATCTATCATTTAACATGACCACAACAACTTTCCTACACACACAACATTTTGTGGGACCCACATGTTTTAAAGAAAAAAAAACTACGGCACGCAAAACGAATCTCTATAACATAACGCAATCATTTTTCCTACAATATAACTCTTATAAAACCCATATATATATATATATATATATATATATATATATATATATATAGGGTTTTATAATTCTCATTCAACATGAGGATTCAAATTTTCCTACGCACTCTTCGATTTTCGTGCTGACATGGGTCCTACATATAATTTTTTCTAACACATAGGTCTCACATGCTTTTTATCTCTACAACATGAGAATTGAATTCTCATGCAACATGAGAAATATTTTTCATAATATATATATATATATATATATATATATATATATATATATATATATATATATCTATAAAACTAGAGGAAATTTTTTTTTATGATTTAAATTGATATCTATATTCTGTGGTGAATTATGATGGGCCGCCAAATATACCACGGAACTGCCTTTGGGATGGGACCCATTGACAAACGCGTGATTCATGAATGAGATGAAACAGTCGTAATGAGACAAATACGTTGATGTTGACAGAAATGCCAGCGAAACCAAAGGCAACCAAGCCTCTAGGATAGTTCTCAACTACATTATTATTTTTTATGGATCCATCCGCGAAGGAAGAACACTATACTTTTGACCTTGACTTGTGTTGACTGTGTTCAATGTTTCTCACCACTTCCCACAATAAAATCTTGCTCAACCTCACCTTCACTCCACTGTCTCCACCACTTCATCTCAAGTACAAAACATAGATATCTCCCAACACTTCCTCTTCCAGTGTTTTATCTCTTCAAAGTCCCCAAACTCGTCCAGGCCTTCCTTTGCAATTGTCACCAACAATTATTGCATAGCTCTCTCAAGTTTCTTAACAACAATGAAGGTTAGAATTATACCCTCAAGTTAAACGAATCTCTATGATCTCCTTCCCTTCATCACCTAATCATTAAATCACCCATTTATTTATTTTTTTGAATGAGTTTTGTTATGTCTTCATGCATGACTGATATTATATATATATATATATATATAATCAGTGATGACATTAGGAGGAGTCTTGAATGGATAATCAATGTCCTGTTGGACAGAATAAGTTTGAAACCAATCAAAGAAAGGAATATATATATATATATATATATATATATATATATATATGGGATTGGATCCGTTTGTTAATTTTTTTTGGTAAATTACACTAAGTAGACCGGTAGTACACTGCATAAAGTATGACCGGTCATACTTAATGTAGTTTATAAGAGTTTCTAAATAAAAAAGTCTGTAAATATAACCTGCTATATATATATATATATTTGCTTTAAATTTTTTGGTCTGAATTCGTGTATATCTTTTTTGACATTCAAAGTATGAAAATCAACAATTTTGTGTTCGTTGTCTGTTATGATTTCCTTTCATATTGTAGACTTATAAGTAATTGTTGAGTCCTGAAAGCTCTTTGGTTTGTTCTGTGACAGAAAGTAGTGTTGAAGGCAGACTTGTACGATGACAGAATCAAGCAAAAAGCTATGAAAACAGTCTCTGGCATTTCAGGTATTGAATTTCAACTTCTTAATCTCTTTTCTTTGCTAAACCACTTGGTTTTTAGATGCTAGAAGCAATCAATAAAATTCAAACAGAGACCAAAAAGAAAAAAAGAAAAATACCCTGTAGTTCATTGTTGGCTAGAAAGTTGCAATGAAAGCAAAACATTTTACTATGCTTTGTTATAGTGGATTAGTTTTACAGTAACCTTATATTGATTTGTAATTGAAATTGTGTTTGTTAATATCTTGTAGGGGTTGAATCAGTGTCTGTTGACATGAAAGACAAGAAATTAACATTAGTGGGAGACATTGATCCAGTACATGTTGTGGGGAAGCTAAGGAAATGGTGTCATACTGAAATAGTTTCTGTTGGACCTGTTAAAGAAGAAAAAAAGAAGGAAGATGATAAGAAGGATTCAATAAAAGTTCCAGAACCTGTTAAGCTTTATGAAGCCTATCCACTTTATTATCACATGACCCCACTACAGTCTAATCAGCATCACTATGTTACAAGTGTGGAAGAGGAGGACACTAATGGCTGTGTCATCTGCTAAAATTTAGGATACCTGATATGAAAAGCAAACGCAAAAAAAGAAGAAGTTATTTTCCATTTTTTGGGAGCTTTTTCTAACAATTCAGATTGAGGGATGGAGTGTGTCCAAGAAGAGTAATATGATGTATAGGAATTTGATTTGTAATGTTTGATTAGACTTTGCTGGTATTCGTGTAAAATTCTGATGTGTTATTCTCAAGCAATAATTAAATTTGAATGATATTGAATTAATATTATTCAATTATGGTGCACAATTTTCAATCTTCTCTTGCTTCTGCTTCTTTCAATAATTAGAAGTATGAATGACGCTGTTTATTGACTAATTGTTGGAGATTTAAAATAAAATTTTGTACCTTTTTGTTGAAGGTGTAAGACTTGGAGAATGGAATGAATAAAAGTATTTGGTTGTTTTTGAAAATGGATTGGCCATAACAATAGTTATATATGATGACAGAACAAATAGTATTTGTTGTACTTAATAAACTTGTATTGGCAGCATGCAATGTTGTTAAACCATAGAAATTCATAGAAATGACATGAAGTAGTCACATTGCACACTTAACAATCAGTATTTTTCAATGGCAAAATGGTAGCACTCCCTTCCTAAGGTTCAATGGAAAATGCTAGCATTTCCTTCCTAATAAGGTTCAAGAAATTCATATGAGCAATCGGCTCGTTGATTTCTTCATAAATCTTGTTGGTAGTGCAAATGCTGAAGTTATATTGTTTACCTCTTAAAGTTGCTGTTGGATATGTGGAGTACGGAGGAGACAGCGCAGAAGCCAAAATGAGTGTGTGCGTATAATAATAACAAATAAGGATTAGGATTGTAGTGAGCATATCTGTAATGCTTAACCCTATATTTATAGTGAATTTTTAGGTGAAGCCGTTAACACGAATCCAAAACACTTGGTTATATTTTGGCATTACTTGGAAACTCTTTCCCAAATAAGTAGTTTGTAAGAAATGACAAAAGCAATTGTAAATTAAAGAAATAAAAAACAATTAATGTGAGTGAAGGTGAGAATTTCCCAAAGTTTTGTCTCCTTCATGACCCAAGAAACACATTCAAGGCATTTGGAGTTTTCATTCTGTTTAGTGTTCCAATTATCGAGCTATTAAAACTGTCGTTCTCCTTTGCGATTCATAGATTTGATTAATAGTTATTTATTCAGTGTTTAAACATGATTATTATGACTAGAACTAAAATTTTATTAGATATTGTTCTGTCGTGGTGACTATTCTGGCCAGCAAACTTTAGGCCTAGTCTATCGGGCTCAATAAAAATTGTCCATATCTAAAACCTTCTAGAGGGCACGCATGATGAGCCATGGAGGCTCATCATTGGGGTTTTTCCCCTTATCCCACATTGCTGCCCACTGTACATTGACAGTAGGGTTGCATGTCTTGTCTCCTTGACAAGACAAGAGAACAGTTACAGGATTCTCTCTCCCACACTTAGGGGGACCTCCTCTCTAAATATCCCTTCTCTCACATTAAAGGGGCATCTTCTCTTCTACGCACTTCATATGTTGTTACTCTGACTCTATGCAATGTCATTCTAGCCATACATGCACTCCCTTTTCACAGTATACCTGCCTTGTATAACAACCCTCACTGTCAAAATAGGTGACAGTAAATTAATTAAGTGTTTAATGGAATTAAACATGTATTTAAGGAAACAGTGAGTGGTAAATCATGTAATTTACATGAGAACTAAGTGAATGATACAGTTCATGCCAAGTCAAATAGGATCTTAATGGAATGAATATAAAAGATTTGGGGTCAAAGTATAATTACGCTAAAGTTTAGGGACTAGTTTGCAAAAACATAAAACTTAGTCTAAACTTGATTTGGATTGTATAATTAAATTGTTTATAGAATTTTATGGGCTAGAAGTGAATTTATTTTCATCGTATGATGTCTAGATAAATTCTTATAATTTATTGGAGTTAGTTTTTATTTTTTATTATTGTTATTATTAGCATGTATTAATACAAAAAATCCTAGGATTGATGATAAGTGGAAAAGGTACACATATTCTCGCTGGGCAGCCCAGCCAGATAGGCCAGGGTGCTAACATGTGGAAAAGGTACACCTATTCTCGCTGAGTAACCCGACGAGATTAGCCACGAGGACAACTTTTTGCAGATGTGGCAGTCTGCCACATTGACCATGAATCTCGCTACACTGCTGGGCGAGATTTGTGGCCTGCAAGACACTGCCACGTGTCCAATTCAGTCTCCCTTGGTGGCATAACGAGAATGTGATGTAGCATTTTAGAAAAATTTCATTGGATCGTGGCATACTGATAAATACTACTCAAAACAGTGGCAAAAAGGTCAATGACACCAGATCCGATGGCGGGAGAGCGAGAGTTTTGGTTTTAGGGAGTTGGAGATTTGCCATGCTTCACGTGTTTGATGTGTTTGCTATCACTGTGTGGGGATCAAAATTTATTGATTTCTTACCGACGACGTCATTGGGGATCGAAGTTTATCAATTTCTCACCGACGACATCAATGTTCTATCGTGGTGACAGAAATGTCTAGCATTGTGACTAGTATGTTTCTATTGAATTTATGTGCCCTCACTACAAGAAAACCGGGTTTTCAGGGCGGTTTACTCGCGGCCAACACTTTAACCGCCTCTATATGTTACAGTTGTTATCAACATAAATACAAAAGAAGGTTATATAATTAACAATGATAGAAGGAAAGCTAGTTAATACACGAAACGGACAAAGCATGATAAAAGGAAAGTTGTCAACCTATCCATTTTCCAATGAGTTTTAAAGACTTTACACCATTTCCAAGATAATATATAATTAACAATTAACAATATTAATTAATAAATTGATTATATTGGATGAATAATAGTAGCCGAAACTCAAATCAGATTTTATGTTCTTTCTCTTTCTCTTCTACTTCTCTCTCCCTCTCTCTCTTGCTCCTCGACAAGCACCGAGTCTCAGACCCACCGATCTTCCGATTCCTTTTCGTCTTGGTTTATGAGGTTTTTTTTTTCTTTATCTTCTTCTGATATCTTTGATGTAGTTTTGTGTCTCTCATTTGCCAGATCTTCCGATTCTTTAACCTTGTTTAGGTTTTGATTGATGCTTGCTTATTGATCTATTAATTAACTCTCAATTTTCTTCGATCTCTCTCATGTAGCTAATGACCCTATCTCTCTCTCTCTCTCTCTCATTGCATTCAGATTATAGCCTTCCGATAGAATCAACAAGGTCCTCCATGGCGGCCAGCTCATAGATGAAGTTTTTTTTTTTTTTTTTTTTAAGTAGAAACTCACCGATGAAGCTTAGACTCTAGCCAAGAGGTACAATATTCATTTCTTCTTCTTGTCTCTCTATCTCTCTGTTGAATCTGCATTCAGGATTCAGATCAGATCTGCTTGTGTTTTTTATTTTATATTCATTCTTTTTTACTTTATTTTATTTAATTTGGATTTCTTCATTCTTCGATCTGATTCAAAAAATATTTCTTTGTTTGCATCGATCTATCTGTTTTGTAATTTTTGATTTTGGTAAACTCGTTAGTTTCTTTAGATTATATATTTTTATAATGGGAAAAAATAATTAACTCGTTAATAGGTAGGATTATTTGTAAACTCTTAAATTCAAACAACTTCACTGGAAAGATACCTCCTTCATTGGGTTAACTCTCCAAACTTTATTGGTTGTATTTTGCAGACAATCAGCTGATGGGGCCTATACTAGTTTCAACCTCCACCTCCCCTGGATTAGACCTTCTTTTAAAGGCTAAGCACTTGTGAGACGCTTCTTTATTTATTTTTTTATTTTTTTGGTTGACACTTAGGAATAGATTTTATTTAGTGCAGCAAAGAACAATGAGTTAAAAACAGTCGAGTACTAGTTGCTATACTTAATTTTTTTTATTGCTATTTAATGCAGCCATTTCAATAAGAACCAGCTTTCAGGTTTCATTTCAATAATTATTTTAAGATTCCATCATATAATTGTCCGCTTCAATACTTGTTAGTATGCATTTGTTTCATCAATACCTAGTAAAGAGTTAGATGAATTTTATTTTATCTTTAAAATTCAAGTTCTCCATGCTTGAATAAGTTACTCTCACTATCATTCTTTCTTTCTATTCACTGCCACATACCCTACTACTCAATTTTCCACTTTAATACTTGATCACTGCAGATACTATCCAACTACACCCCATCACAAATAATCGAAAGGTAAATCTTTTCTTCCTTTTTTTATTCTAAATTTACCATTTCAGTATTGGAATTTGGAAGTGTTTCAGAATTTTTTTATTTTTCTTGATTTTAGAGATGTAGATAGCTCAAAGTTTGTGGGCGTTTTCCTTCCCATGATCCATAATTCAAACAACTTATTGTTTTCAAATTTATGCATACCTTTGCAGGTGAATTAATTAAAATAGTGTCTATTGTCCACTGCACATGGGTTTAACATGAATTAGCTTTTGTATGTTTAACATGGGTATGTTTGGTTTTATAAGGCAAGTAATAGATACCGTGAATAGAAAGTGTTTCCTGTAGAATAATTTGGATGTTGCAGGTAAGGTGTCAAGGAAACTCAGCTGGTGGTGCTGTCTATGAAAAGACAATAAGGGAGAGAATTTGCATACACAAGAAACCAGTTATAGAAACCGATTTAATGTCTATTAAAAGAGAGAGATACAAAATTTTCATGTCATAAAATAGTGATAGCGTTTGTTATGTTTGGCCAGTGGTTCTGCATTGACATATTATAAATGTTTCCCATTATAATCTCTTACAACTTTCCCCTCTCCTCTTTACTAAGGACTCAAAAGCATTCTATCATCGGGGACATTTATGAGATTGATTACTGATATATGTTTAATTTAAATTACGGTTAATTTATATGGAACTCTTGATTGATATTGTTGCAAGTTTCAGGCAAGCCATTAAATATTGTGGGAATTTAACCTCATTTCAAATTTAAATTGAATAGTAAGAAATACCGTGTTATTGCCTCTGTTTTTCATTGTCAGGATTGGTTTAAATGTCGAAGAATGTTTCATTTACTATTCTATACCAATTGAACAATATCAGCAAATTAAAAAATAGCCACGTTTGGCTGTGAATTTTTTTTTATTAAAATAAGTATTTTAGCCACGGTTATGACGTTCCTAAATAAGGATAACAAAATTTCTTTTACAGAAATTAGCGACGGTTAAACGTGGCTAACTATCAAAATTCTTCTACAGTACTCCCGACGGTTTTGAACGGCATAACGTCATTTTTATTTTAGCGACGGTTATTCCGTCGGTTTTGTAAAACCGACGCGAAATTATTTAACGACCCCAAATTCAATGTCAGTTCTAAAAATGACAGGGAAATTTTTTGCGGCGGTTTGAACCGCCGCTAAACCCGTTATTTCTTGTAGTGCCTCTCTCAGGCATCTATGAGAGAGATATCTTAGAGATTAACATATCATTGTGCACTATAATAGATGGTATAGCAAAAGAGTTGAGTGTGTATACAGTGACAGTTAAAAGAGAGAGTGTTTAGAATGTGTGTACCTTATTGGCTTAACCCTTTATTTATAGATGGATTACCTGACAGAAGTGAATTTTTGGAATTCTTAAGAATATTGGGGGTCTAATTCTTGATTCATTATTACTGTATTAGGATTAGTATAATTAAAGAATCTTTCCTTAATTTCCCACTTAATCATTAGCTTTTTTTTTTTTGACTTTCTAAAATACGGGCTTCTATATTAGTTCCATAACAGATATAGCAGTGCACGGTGATTGATGAAAATTGTTTCATATTTTATTAGATACAGTTTTCTCGTGTCTTTTCTAACATAGATTATATCATGTAATTTAATCATTCATTAATATATCAATAATAATAATTTCAATGAAAAAACTAGTAAAACGGAGAAGTGGAAATAGATTTTAAGTGTTAGCCAATGACCTATCAATAAATGAGTGAAATTTTTCACATAATATGATGATGCTAAAAAGAGATATGAGAAAATTCATTTCACATGCGAAGAGACGTTGCAATTACAAAATAGTATAACACAAATGATTGAGTTAGATAATATTTTTTTTAATGTTATTAACTGTTTGACGTCCAAAACACAATTAAAAAAAATCTAATGTTTCTTATGCTATAGGAGTTAAATATATGTTCCATACATATATAAAAATGTATGAAATTCATGTGGACCCATATAAAAAGAAGAGAGAGAAAAATATAGATCACATATTTTTATGTGTATATAAAAAATAAATTTATCTTCAATAACATGGGAAACAATAAATCCTTAAAAAAATTGTAATATCATAAGATATTATAACATATCTTAGAATGTATCAAAAGTTTAAAAATTTGTACTGTCTTTTAAATTATTTATAGGTTTAATGTCTCTCATGTTATAGAGATAATTTTATGTACTACGTACACACAAATGAAAATATGTAGGACCTATGATTCTATAGACTCCATATACTTTTACGTATGTGTAAGAGATAATTTTATCTCTTTGAAACAACCAAACTTATTGTAATCTCTTATTTTCTAAGCAAATAAACGATACTTTAAACTTTTAAACTTTAAAAAAGAAGAAAAGCCTTCAATTATTACATTGATTCTCTTTCTAAGAAGGAACTTCTCTTCCGGAGATAATAATGCAAAAATTAAAGTTTACACGGTTTCAGCCGTGTTAGAAAAAACAAATTATACTATAATTTTGAAGAAGACTGTAACACTTTATGACTTGACTTGGGTTGACTTGACTTGACTGTGTCTCACCCCCTCCCAGTATAAATCTTGCTCAATCTCAAGCATTATTTCATCACCACTTCATTTGTAGTTGAAAAGCCATCTACTCATATTCCAACTCAGCTTAAACCTCTTTGCCTTCCTTTGCAATTGTTACAAACTATATATTCTTGCTTACCTCTCAATATTTAACAACAATAATAATGATGAAGGTCAGAAATAGAGTCTCATGAGGTGAAAGCCATTTCTTGAGTTTCCTCCTAACTTTACTCTGTTTCCATGCATAGCTGATATTGTTGTATTTTTATTTTATTTTAACATTTCAGTGTTCAAATTTCAATAAGGACTTGTATTTGACTATTTCCTTTCATATTTTAGACTTTGAAGTAATTGTTGGGTCTTAACTGCTCTTAATTGATTTGTTCTGTAACAGAAAGTAGTGTTGAAGGTGGACTTCTATGACGATAGAATCAAGCAAAAAGCCATGAAGACAGCATCTGGCCTTTCAGGTATTGAATTTCACATCAGTTTTTTTAATTAATGATTTAGGCACGTTAAACTCGAACACCAACTACCATTTTCAAATACTATCAAAACAACCGAAAACCTTCAAATATTAATTTGATAGATTCTTCCACTTATATAATATTGCTTAATCCATTCTTAACAAATGTATTTATCATTTATACTTAAATTCCTAACCAGTATTACATTGCAGTCCCCAAACCTACCACAAAAGCCAAAAATAAATAAATAAATAAATAAATCTTTAACTAATTAACTTCACTTTTGTTTCAAGAAACAAATCCCATATCATATACATAGCATCAAGGATTCAATGTTTTTTAAGTGAAATTGTATTTGTAATAATTTTGCAGGGGTTGAATCAGTTTCTGTGGATACGAAAGACAAGAAATTGATTTTATCTGGGGACATTGATCCTGTACGTGCAATGTCCAAGCTAAGAAAGTGTTGTCACACAGAAATAGTTTCAGTAGGACCTGCAAAAGAGGAGAAGGACCCAACAAATGTACCTGTTCCTCTCGAGCTTTATTATCATATGACAACACCACAATATGGTCAAAATTACTATGTTAGAAGCGTAGAAGAGAGTCCCAATGGTTGTGTCATATGCTAAATTTCGTAATATACAAAGTTGGGATTAATGTTTCTCGTGTGGAGATAATTTTAGGGTTTAGGGTTTTGTTTGATAAAATACATTGTGGTTTTTTTTTTGGTTAGTTTGGTACCGTACCGTATCATCTTCTAAACTTTGCTTCTTCTCCACCCAGAAGTTTTTTTTTTTTTTTCTAATTTAAGTTTAGATTATAAAGTTTTTATTTATTTGTTTTTTTAAATTTCTCTAACAGTTCATCCGTTAATCGATTAGGACAATAAAATTCTCCCTAGTAAGTTTTTTTTAACACAACTATTTATCTAAGACTTGAAGTTGAAAACTATTAATTAAGTTGGAAAAGCTTGTGCTGGTTGATTATTTAGTGGTTAAACTTTTAATTAGATGTTCCTCTTTAGAAACAAGAATATAAATACAGAAAATTGTAAATTAATTGTAGAAAAAAATCAAGCAAGATAAGTTTATGCAGGTATGGATAGTAGATGATCGTGCACTTATAAGAATTTCGATACGGTAAAAAGAAAAAGGGCTTTATATATATAATTTTACAGTTTAAAAAACAAGTTTCCTGTTGACATAATAAACTAGTGGGGTCGACCAATTATTTTTCTCACTCCTCAGTCCATTTTCTCTCTTCTTATTATTGTCTCTTTGGGAACTTTTATTTTGTCTTGTAATAGTATTGTTGTATTTATCAAAGAAAAAATACACCTTGTTTGATTATATGTAATAGGATGAGCCTGACATGATATAGGCTAGGCCATAGGCCCCTCCCTATAGGCCGATTTGGTCCACTTTCACCCCTAGCAGTGAGGTTCGAACCCGTGACACCGAGGCTTTAATACCATGTAAGTAATCAATTCAACCCAAAAGTTTAAGTTGTTGGGAAATGTTACATTAATGGTTTATATATGTTTAACAAAACCCAACACTTCTTTATAAAAATTTATTACACCAACTACTAAGTCAAACCTACCTAGGGGTGTAAATGGACTGCGCCTAGCCAGACTTCGGCATATGTAACACGCCGTGTATACCCGGTTGTTATTATGTCATCGTATTAAGCGTTGCTTAATTAAAATGCGGAATTAATTTTTTCTTTTCGATTATGACGTCATTATTAATTACCAAGTTGATTATTTAATCCTTATTCAAAACATTGCTTGTATGTAATTGCAAATAGAAAGCTAACTACACTGAATAATCTCATAATATAAATATGTGTGTATCTAAATCACGAAACTACAACATGTAGTCCGGACCATATTATGATACAATTATACAACTCAATTCTAAAATAAGACATAGTCAATCAATGTGACATGGACAACCCCCGTGCTCACCAAATAAGGCAACAAAGCCCAACAGAGTCTCAAATCAAATAACAGTATATCCAAAAGAAAAGCATAATAATCATCCAGAAATATCCGCACAACAGCATGCATAAATCAACTAAGCTTCGGCCTCCTGCCGCTCGAGGTCTTAACCCCAGAGTTACTTGAACTGAAAATGTGCCCCAAACGTGGGGTGAGACCTCTAAAAAGAAATCTCAGTAAGACAAGGGGTCCTCAAGGATCTCTCCAGCTCACTTACATGTGCAATATAAGTTCTAAAACCAGTAAAACAATATAAGTTCCAAAATCAGTGCAATGCAGCAGAATAATCATGTCATGTGTGTCAAATATTCTACTAGCCAGAGAAATGTAGGATTTACATACATCTATTACTTACAATTAGTGCAAGATACCACTTGCACCCACCCACAGAATCACCTTATAGTATGTCTCCTACATACACAGGCTTACTGTCTAGGTGGAACAACACATGCATATCATAAGACACTTCCACAAAACAGCTCAACAACATTTCAAAATCAATACATGAAAATACATCATGCATATAAACCATCTCCCCATGGGGTATGGTGGAACCAACAATGGCTAAACTGAGGACACGAAAGCTTACATCGTAAGCTAATTATCCAACACAAGAGTCCAACCAAGCACAAAGTCCACAAACAGCAGAATCACAATCTGTTTTAGACCAGTAAACATATCAACATTCATCATCTAATAATTCAAGACACAACAACAACGTTTTCTTCTTCGTTTCATGTCTTTAGGCTTCTCACAAAGCCATAAGCCCTTAATCCCATTGATTCTGATTTAGATAATTGTTACAGAGGTTTAACTTAACCAAACTAGGGTTCGCAAACCCCAAATACAGTTCTGTACGCACAGAATCAGTCACTGTCTCGAAATTCCCATAATATCTGGATATTTATCGAGGGCATATCCGGATATCCATATCCAGATATCATAAACCCCATATCCGGATATTTCGCGACAGAATGCAGTTTCTGCATTTCGCGAAGATATCACCTCAAGGTTGCATTTTTAACCCATTAATACGTCCAAGCATGCATCTTTAAACACTTTTAGGTTCATGTTTATGTTGGTTACCTATTCACTCATTAACATGGCAAGACTCTACCTTTAAACAAGGAAAACTCATGATCAAGGTAAGGAACATACCCAAGGCTTCAAAACAGAAGTTAGAAGTGCTCTTGGAGCTCTCTATGAAGCCCCAATGATCTGACTTTACCAAGCCACGAAAATGGTGATCAAGAATGGTTCTCTCTCCACAAAGTTAGCTCCTTGAAGCATCAACAACTCATGAAATGGTTCCTACACCACCCCACACTCAGAGGAAGTCCTCACACCCTAAGTCAGCAGCTACCACACTCCCAAGAAGGTGCCTTTCTCCCTCCCAATGCACACACTCAAGTGTTTACAAGACTAAGGAAGAAAATCAAAGAGAAAGGTGGATTTTGGGTTGAGCTTCAAGAGGGGAAGAGGGTGGCAATGAGGCTGATGAAGTTTCAGCAATTGGAGGCACGTAGGGTGTATGAAAATGCCCTAGAAATCCGTGCCATTAAGTATATATAGGTGGTTTAAGTTAAAACACACTGTATTAGCACTAAAAGTTACGCTTAGTATTTTAATCCCAAACTTAAGATTCTGAACCTAGTCATTTTTCTAGGATTTCTCATATTTTTATTTTATTTTTTGCAGCACTTTTTTGGTATGCGCTTTTACGTAGCCAGTATCAGTTTTGACACTAATTCTCAATATTTTGACTCGAAACTTGACATACTAGTCCTATATACTATTATAGTAATATATACACACTTTTCATAATTTTTCGGGATACCTCATCGGTACGCATTTATACCGTGAGGCAGAACCGGTATCTGCACTTTTCGTGTGAAAAGAGACTTTCAACATTATTGATTACTTACCATAATTATTTAAGCCTCCTCATACTTATTAGAGTCAATTATGGAATTATCTCATTAATCTCATAATTAATTAATTAAATTCCTAATTTAACGGTGCGGGTTCTTACAGCTTAAATAGGTCAGTTCTTGTAAAATAGGTAGGCTCTACCTGGACTGTTAGCCTTGTGTAGGTCCAAATTATAAGTCTGACCTACCCTATATTTGAAAAACAAAAATCTTGGCGTAAGCCTATTAAACATATTAGTCATTCAATAATTAAAAGAAAGATAAAAAAAATATTTCTGTATTATTCAAAATCATTAAAATAATAATTTTACTTATTTTCTGTAAAATAAATAATATGATATAGGACGACTTGTAGGTTTACAGGTCAAGCCTTGTAAAAGAAATCTTATGGCCTACTTTCTAAAAAGGCTTTTTAAAAAACTTGAGTCTGTTTATTTTTACTTTATATAATAGGTAAGCCTAACCTGATGTAGGTTCAACCATAACCCCTTGATAGGCTGTTTGACCCGTTTACAGTCCTACGACTACTTGTTAGTTATTAAGCTCTTATTATTATATTTATTATTTGGAAAAAATATTTGACCTACAAAAGAAGATAAATTATCTATTTGTAATCCCAAAAGAACAAAGTTTTGGAGTTTAGGATAAAAAATGTATGGTATTTTGAAAATTTTACTCACTTTTTATATTATATATTTTACTAAAATGCCCTCTATTTTTTATTCTCAAATCCCACGTCATTTTAAAATTAAGGAGATAATTTTATCTTCTATTGCAAGGAAAACATTAATTCCTTATTATATACCAAATGTAAAATTTAATATGCAATAACTTGTATTAATATATTTTAACAAAGAGTTAAAGTTTAAAAGATTATATGTAGAGAGAGTTGATAAGCCAAAGTGATGGAGAGCATAAACCCTAGTGATGGATCGCCAATGGAAGTCAACTCAGAGTTGTCTTCGGAGGAAGTAGACAACTTACAGAGAAGTACGAAAAAATACAAGGGAGGAGATGCAGCTTTCAATCATGATCACACCATGGTACCAAGGGAGGAGGAATGGATGGAAGAGCGAAGATCGTTCAAGGAGAAGCTGATGCGACATAATGTGGATTGGGAAATGCAAGAAGCGGAGGAAGAAGGGCAATCAGAGCAAGAGGAAGAAGATTTACTAGGTGAAAAGGTTGGATCGAAAATTGAAACGATTTCTTCAGACGTTCTTTGCGAGAGAAATGGAGATGGTAGGACCAATTTCAAGTTGTCAGATAAATTCAAAAAGCGTGCTTGGAGACCATGGAGGAAGGCAATTTATGTCAAACTTTTGGGGGAAAAATCGCACTTCCCATAATGAAGAAAAGGTTAGAAAATTTGTGCGCGCGAGAGGGGCAGATCTTTGTTACAGATGTAGAGAACATATATTTCCTGGTAAGATTTTTTGTTAAAAATGATATGGATTTCGCTCTTACTGCAGGACCGTGGGTTTTATTTGATCACTATTTAGCAATCAGATCTTGGGAACCAGATTTCTAAATCAATTCCGCCTCAGTTGGTCGGATTTTGGCTTGGGCTCGTTTTCCTGGGTTCCTAGTGGAGTATGTTAATATTGAATTGCTAAAGGAAGTAGGGAATTGTTGGGGAAATTTATTAGGATGGATGTTGCTATAACTTGCTTGGCTAGAGGAAAATTTGCTAGGATTTGTGTCGAATTAGACCTGAGTAAACCTCTACAGGTGGAATATAAAATAGAAGGGAGATTGAAAAATGTCGAATATGAGGGACTTCATCTGGTCTGCTATAGCTGTGGAAAGTATGGACATCGTACCGAGAATTGTCCATCAA